ATGGCTGGCTAGTTTGAACACCCATGGCTTGGGCCATGTCGTATAATAGATCAAATAATGATTAATGGTTTTTGTTAAAAGTAGATTAAAGAACAACTGCGTTACTATGACGCAATACCCCTGTCCCTGGTTCAAAATTTGGATACCCTACGCTCGTTAAACTTTTGCTACCTTAGTAATCTCTGACCCCTGAAGTATAAAAGCACTTCTCTCCATTGATGGATAACTCTTCAAGGACTTTTAACCTATCTTGCTTTTATTCCTGCTCTGGGGAGCTTCGGATATATATAGGACTAGGTATCGTACACACATACACACTCTTACAAACAGGCCATAAGACTAGTCTAAAAGTGTTAACTGTTAGGCTGGCGTTAGCCAGTACCATTTTTACCATGGGATGAATGAACACGGATTTTTGGAGGGGCCGTTTATCCACTTGTACCGATGGTCAGCTTCTCTTAATCCTTTCTTCAGGTGCATTTTTTTTTGCAGCTATGCAAAGCGATGCGCAAGAAACACCGAAAATTCCCGGGGAGGCAACGAAATGTCCCTCGTTCACGAAGATCCCGGAGGACACGACGTTCCAGCCGCAGCAGATCACTATCCCAACGAAGCACGCCACTCATCCGATCCGGATCGAATACCTCAATTCGCAGTTTCTCGTTTTTGATGCCGTTGGTGAGTGTATTTTTGTTTTTGTCAGATGTTTGAAATCATAATTTGGGTCTTACTTTTACTGCTAAATTTCGTTATTTTATGGTTTTTTTGTTTGTTTCCTTGTATTTTTAGTCATTGCACACTAATATTTCACATAATGATTTATGGCTTTTTGTTAAAAATTGCATAAGGAGCCATTGCGTCATTATGAAGCAACACCTCTGACCAGTGGTTCAATCTTTGGACACCCTACGCCCTTTAGAGTTATGCAGCCTTAGTAAGCTGTGACCATTGGGGTATAAAAACACTCCTCCTCAACATCTCCGGGCATCCAGAGTCGCAGTTTTCGCCACACCATCTTGTTCTGGAGAGCTGAAACTCTCCAGAGCATCGCAATCCTTTTTTTATTGTTTCCCGTATTTCCCTTTACGTTGTATAACCTCGGTTTCTGTATACAATTATAAATATATGTATTTAAAAGATAATTGCAATTGTGTATCTATAACCAGGTGTGAACTGT